AGAGTTCTATTATTTTACCACTTTTGCTAAGTAGATTCTTAAAGTAATTTTTAAAAAAATAAATGCTTCCAACATTGCTTTTGACTTTAGGTAAGGAGTATATTTAATGGAATAAAATACTTTGAAAAGCATTTGCAAGATCTACCTAGTGTTAAGTCAATAATCCTACAGCATATTGTTCTTGCTTTTCTTTCACACCTACATTAATACTTCTGCTAAGAAATAAAATAGCAAGAATAACTGTTGAATTCTCCTAAGAAAAAATAAATTACAATTTATGTGTAGGTTCTCCAAATTAATCTTACTAAAACCTTGTGATTTCAAGACTTTTTTTGTACTATAGTTAATAAAACTTATGCAAAGAAATATGTTATTAATTTGATGCCATATTTTAATTTCATGAAGAAAACCTTAGCATTGTTTTAGTTAGGGGATCTTGATGATTGGCAATGTTATATATAGTATTTATAAATATTTGAAAGCATTGATTGGCAGGAGGGTTTTAACGTGCTGGTAAGATTTGGCATATAAGTAAATGTTCACCCCCATCCATTTCTCTGTTTCAAGGTGGTCCTAGATGTTGGATGCGGATCAGGTATTCTTTCATTTTTCGCTGTGCAGGCTGGTGCTAGAAAAGTTTATGCTGTTGAAGCTAGCTCAGTGGCCAAGTATGCTGAGGTGAGTATGTTAGATTTGGTGAGCAACTGCATTTGTTTGCTTTGTTGTGTGTGTGTAGAAAACAAAGTATTTGTAGCTGAAATAACGGTGTGCAAATAATTTAGGTCCATTTTATTTCAGTGTTCCATCAGGACCGTGTCTTGAAGAGCATAATTCACTCTCAAGGTACATGTTAAATGAAAACATTTTGATTATTTCAGTGAAACCTGTTCCCACTTAAGCAACTACAAACTAGGACATTTAGAGGCCTGTGTGAAAATTGATGGCAGAGGCAGATTTAAGGGGATCACTATCCCTGCTGACAACTACAATGCATCCTCGCAATAGCCGCTTAATATTTGAGAAATGGGCCTATTCAGTATAAAGCAAATGGGGCTGGAATCATTTCATAGATAAATTAATGACATTTAAAGTAAAGTAATAACTTTTGATTAGAACTATCTTTATTGACTACCATTCAATGACTTTTCCCCATATTGAAATACACTAAAATCTTTAGTAATTGAAACTCATCTCCTGTAAAAGGACTTAAATTAATTAGCAGCTTCTCTTATTCTTGAATGGATCCACAGTCAATCAGGAATATTGGACATATTTCAGGGAAAAGCAAACAGGGTTTATTTCCTGCAATTTCTCTCGTTTCACTTCAAACACTGTACAGTAACAGAATGTGGAATATGCAAGTTACGCTGATATTGTTTGCTGTCTGGCCAAGTATTGGATTAGCATCACAGGTCTAGACTACATGATTCGGAAAGGATTATGAATTCAGTGAATATCGCTTTCTCCTTCTCCCTTTTTCTGATTCCAGAGAAGAAGCTGTGTAATTTATGCAAAATAAATTCTAAAGCTGCTTAGACTCATTCAAATGTTATGTAACCTGTATTATAATTAAGATATTGTGACTATTTCAGTAGCACAGTAAGCAGTGGTGGGTTTCAATTTTTTTTAGAACCTCTTCTGTAGGTGTGGTCTTTTTTGTGGGAGTGGCTTGGCGGTCATGTGACTGGGTGGGCGTGGCCAAGATGGAAATGTAGTGAAACTAACTTAACAACACTCTTGCTTAGCAACCAAAATTTTGGGCTCAATTGTGATCCTAAGTTCTCTTCCTCTCTCTCTCTCCCTCTATCCCTCCCTTCCTTCTTGTGTCTTTCTCCCCCACTTATTTTCTTTCTTTTCCTTCCTTCCTTCCTTCCTTCCTTCCTTCCTTCCTTCCTTCCTTCTTGTCTCTCTCGCTCTCTAACTTTCTTTCTTTCTCTTTCTCATTCTTTCTTTCTTTCTCTCTCTCATTCACACACACACCATTTCCCTCATGTCTGTCACTGACAGCTCTCAAAGAGAAGGAAGAACTCCTGCCTAGGGAAGAGGTTGGACTAGATTACCTCCGTGTTCCCTTGCATGCCTCTATGTTCTCTGTCCTATTTAGTCATAAACAGCCCCATTCACTTTAAAGTTGATCGCAAACTCCACTCACTCTGTGTGCGCCCTGGTTCCACCCAAGGAGGCGAGCTGTAGGGTGGGAGAAAGGGGGGAGTCTGTGACTCCACATCTTTCGATCTTCTTCTCCGCCTTGGTTCTGTGGGTGGGAGGTGCTGCTGCTGAGGCGGTGCAGGGGTGGCGGTGGCACTGTCCGCTACCCACAGTGAGCCCAGGAGCAGTAACTGCTGCCCCACGCCGCCATCACTCACTCCCCCTCAGGCCTTTGGCCAGGCACGCAGAGGAGGAATGTGTGGCGACAGCGAGGGCAGCTGAGGAGGGGGCAGTGCTTTGGTGGTGAAGAAGAGCCGAGCTGAGAGGGAAAAAAGAGCTCTGTTGGGCGGGGGAGCGGGGTGGGTCGCTCCATGTTGGCAGCCTTTTATTATTTTTTCTCTTCCCCTCACGAGAGTCACACTGACAGCAGTGGTGGCAGGAGGAGCAACAGCCTGGTGTGCACTCCCGATCCGGCCTGCCTGAGGAACAGGAGCGGATTTCGGCTGTTTAAAAAGCCCCATGTGGAACTCCTCTCCTGTCCATTCTTTTGCTGCTTGAACAGCCATGGAGGGCACGCTCCCTTGCTTTGACAGCCCTCCCTTGTTTCCAATTTGGGGGGGGGGATCCATGGAGAGGGATGGAAAAGATGGATTTCTTCTCCTCCCCAATTGGAAATGTCAGGTGGGGAGTTCAGCTGTTTTAAAGCCCCACGTGGAACTCCTCTCCTCTTCCATTTGCTGTTTGAACACGCCACGCAGGGTGCACTGCCTTGTCTTTCACAGCTGCCTTGTTTCCAATTGGGGAGGGGGATCCATGGATCCATGGAAAGGGACGGAAAAGATGGATTTCTTCCTCCCCCAATTGGAAATGAGGCGGCTGTCAAAGCAAGGGAGCGTGCCCAATGTGGCTTGTTCAAACAGAATAATTAACAGGAGGGGAGGATTCATTGGACAAGCAAACGGACAAGCCAACGGGTGCACGCTGCTCTCTTCTCTGACAGCCACCTCATTTCCAATGAAGGTGGTGGAGAATCCATGAGATTTCCTACCTCTGCATGGATTCCCCCCTCCCTCCGCGTGCCCTCCAGCCAAAACCTCCCAGAAGGCTTCTGCTGGTGGGAGAGCAGGAGGGAGGGCCAGGCCAGGGGAGGGACCATTCTGGTTCTGGGCCCCCGGAAGGCCTGGTACAGGAAGGCACACCAAATTCTTTCAACCAGTATGGGCATACCAGTCAGTACCGGTTGAAACCTACCTCTGACGGTAAGCATATCACAAACAAAATATTCATTTGAATGCATATATAATGAATGGCCAAGCCCACTATCCTTTTCATTTGCTCCAGCCAAGTTTGTAAGATTTACAAAC